GTTAGGTTTAGGGTTAGGTTAAGGGTTAGGTTTAGGGTTAGGTTAAGGGTTAGGTTTAGGGTTAAGTTAAGGGTTACGTTTAGCGTTAGGGATTAGGGTTAGGTTTAGGTTTAGTTTTACAGCGCGCTTCTGTCTCCGCGCTGTTGTCGGCGCGATTCAGCGCTCATTCGTCGGAGCGCTTTAGAACACGCGGTTTTATCACCGCGGTTTTGTCGGGCGCGGTTTTGTCGTTCGCCCTTTTGTCGCTGAACCAGCATTCTATATGAAGAATCTGCTGAGAACAACAAAGAAAGATCCATATTGTGGAAACGTCTTGTGCGTATTTGAAATCATAACATCACAGTTTTAGTAAATGCTTGCAATAAAGAATTGTCTGCCTACAGTCATGGGACGATTTCCCTATTGTCAGTAGATATGCCATCAACATTCCCTTGGACCGTTGACAGTCCAAAGCATTTAAGAGACTGACTTTAACAGGCATCTATTAAAGGAGAAATTCTGAAGAGGATTTAGCGTGTTTAGTGGCTGTTATTTACCCTGGGTTTGAAGGAATAAATGTATGGGTGTGTGTCTGGGAGAAGAGAATAAGAAAATATGCCTCAGAAGATCAGAGATTAAGTCCCCAGGGATAGACAAAGAGGGTGGGAAAACCCAAGAGGAACAAAGAGTAAATAACTCCTTTGATTCCCTGGCTTGGTCAATGAGTCCCTTCTACTTTCTCCTCTCACAATCATCTGTCAAGGGGAGTCACCTACTCCTCCCCCTGTCAGGGAAAACAGCACTGTAGAACAAGGGACTGCATCTGTCTCTGAGAAGCACAGCATTTGGGCAACAGTCCTGGAGGAAGGCCCTCTCAAGGCACGTGTCAGCCTTTAGAAGCCCCCAGTGGAAAAGATGAAGAAGATTTAGGAGCTAAGTCTCTGGTTCAAAACCACCAGCTGCTGACTCCTTTCTGACAACAAGAATCCGTCTGACCCTTTCTGCCCTCTTCCGATCCAAATATTCTTCACTGATTTATTTATTTATTTATTTGTTATGGCAGGCAGGGGTTAACTCACAACGCTCTCGCCTACAATACTTAGCGGGGAATTCCTCCTTTTGTAGGGAAGAAGAGGGTAGTTTCCTTCAGCATGGTGGGTGGTGAGGTTTTGTTTTCAAGTTGCAGTGTCCTCAGGGCAGCTGAAGGACTCTGCAAGCCAGAAATATATAGCCTCTCGGGCCTTAATCGAGGTTGTAAGGAGAGTACTCTGAGAAAGAAAAGTTATTTATTTTGTTTTAGAGTCGGTGGAAGAGCTGCAGCATGTAGACTCAGTCAAATAAAAACGATCTCTGTCTGTGTGTTTCAAAAATGCTTCCATTTATAATTGGAACTATTTATATCAGAGGTCTTCAAACTTGGCAACTTTAAGACTTGTGGACTTCAACTCCCAGAATTCTCCAGAAATCTGGGAGTTGAAGTCCACAAGTCTTAAAGTTGCCATGTTTCAGGGGTGGGTTCCTGCCAGTTCTAACCTCTTCTATCAAAGAGGTTCCACAAATCTACAGTGCTGTTTAGAACCGGTTCCAGCTCCCTCGCCCCTTCCGTCCACACATCATCAAGATGAAGAGCGAGAGGATGAATTCTGGGAGTTGAAGTCCACAAGTCTTAAAGCTGTCAAGTTTGAACACCCCTGGGGTTTTTTCTAAAGAGTT